AGCTTCAAAACATTTCCAGAATATAAACCATCTATTTTATATAACTGCTATGAAAATATAATGATTGGAAAAAAACTAATTCCTCATCTTTAATTGGATAAAAAGAACAATAGCTACTTTTGGAAAAGCTGAGGCTAGAAATGCCAAGAATTAAGTGGAGAGACAAGAAATCTTTTCAGCATATTTATCTGGAAACTCTATGAAATGGCTGTTCTGCGAAAAATGAAAATCTAAGATTTCATTGTAGTCTTCCATCTCAAAGAGGTTTCCAGATTTGGTGGGTGAAGTTTAGGCAGGATGACAGAATAAGTAAGACAGTTTTATCCTTGGGGCAATAGACGGTTAGGATTGACATTATTGCTAAAACTTTCTCCACTTTGCAAAGCGTTCATCTTTGTTTCATAGAAGGCAGGAAGTTTGTTTAAAACCTACTTAAATATGAAAAGATGATTAACTATTTAGTGAAAATCTAATGCTGATGCTTAAAGGCACGAGGCTTTTGAGGCAGCTTAAAAGCTTTTTTATAAAGCTTCCTTTGAGTTTAACACCCTACCTGAGTGATAATATTTTAAAAAGTGAAAAAAATGCATCTGGTGGGAGAGTGCCCTAATTTAAGCATTTCTCTCAAATTAATTCAGAGGTCTCATCTTCTCAGCTGCCTATAGGATACAGTCTAAACTTCTCAGCTCAAACTCTGACCTCTACCTTTCAATGCCATCTTCCACATTTCCACAGTAGTCTTCTCTCCATCACTAATCCACAGAAGTTAGTGCATCGATTTACATTCGTTCCAATCTGTCTTTCCCCTTGCTATTTGTTCAGTTTTACTTGTTGACATTTTGTACATCCTTTAAAAATCAGCCAGTTCATTGGATGATTTTCTCTAATTCCCCAGATCTGTAGTAACAGCTTCTTTCTTTATTCTGTATGGTTAGTTTGTTGCTCATTTATTTCCCATAATTAACTCTTCTTACTCTTTTAACTAATTGTGTACTTAAAAACAAAAACAAAAACAGGGCTGGGATGGTGGCTCAGTGGTAGAATGCTTGCCTTGCATGCATGAGGCTCTGGATTCAATTCCTCAGCACCACATAAGCAGAAAAAGCCGGAAGTGGCACTGTGGTTCAAGTGGTAGAGCACTAGCTTTGCACTAAAGAGCTGAGGGACAGTACCCAGGCCCAGAGTTCAGGCCTCCCGACTAAAGAAACACAAAAGAACAAACAAAACAAACAAAAACACAAACAGCTCTTTAGGGAAAGAATAAAATATTTCTTAGTCATGCATGTTTAATGTAGTTATATATGTATATTTATATATTTTACATAGTTATGTCATATATATGTATATACGTTTATATATCTATATGTATGTATATGCCAGGACCTCAACAAATATCTATTGAAATGGATGAAGTTCAAGGAGGGAAAAAAAAAACTATTGTTTCCGAACTAGACCATAGTTTTACCTGTAACCTTTCATGTCATCCTTTTAGCTTATGCCACCTGTGTGTCTTTTTATTTCTGAACAATGACAGTCTAATTACATTATTCCTTACTTAAAACCCATCAATGATCCTAGTTGACCGCAGAATCATTTGGTCTTAATGAGATCATTTGCAACTTTATTCAATACCCTTAAGTGACATAAGAAAACCAACAAATCTTATGTCACTTTTGGCTCCTCATTCTCTGCTACATTTGTACTATGTTTTTTTGTTTCCCAGAAATCGATCTTTTTTCATGAGATGATCTGTTATTCCTTGTCTACTCTTTCTACCGTCTATTACCTGATACACATCTACCAGATCCAATTTATTCTGGAAATCATCCCTAGTTGCTTCAATATCTCTATTAACTCCAGGGTAGATTAAGATTAAGCCTTTTTTTTTTTTTTTATATTTCCTGAAGTCTAATAGGTAGCCAAGATCAAAGAGACTTGGATCAAGATCTGAATCTTCCATTTACCAAGTGGTAACTTTAGACCAGAATACATCAGAATCATATGCAGAAGCTGGTGAGGTGTCCCATAATCCCATGCAAGTATCCCTGCTAGCGCAACGTTCTGGAGGAAAGGCAAGAGAATTGCAGTTCCAGCCTAGCCTAAGACAGCAGGATACTGTCTTAAAAAATATTAACAACAAGCCATATCCCATGGGGCCTCATCCTTACAGCTTTTGATTTAGTGGGCTCAACTGATCTCATGAATTTGCTTTTCTAACTGATTTTTTTCCAAGTTACTTTGATGGTGCTCTTTGGATGATCATACTTAGTAAAAACCTGTTGTATATAATTTATTAATCTACATTTCTAAGCTTTAGTTTCAGTATCTACAAAGTAAAGCAGAAGAGATGTTTTTAGAAAATTAGTTGAGATAATGTATGTAAGGTGTCATGAACTATTTCTCAGTCAATGCCACATAATAATTGTCTTTACACTACCAGTGTGTCATTACATTACTGAACTGAAGACTGAATAGGCCATGTGCCTTGGACTGAGAACCCCATAAAAAGCAGAGATTGCATTGGTTTCCACTGCTATGGATCAGGTACTTTATGAGGTGCGTTAGTGGGTATTAATTACATTCATTCAGCATCATGAACTCAAAAGAAAATGATTCAATAGATTTTTAGTAAAACTACTTTACTATTCCTTGTAAGTATTCTCTACCTAGAATCTTTCAGGCTCTCGATTTCAGTTCTCTACAGTTCTTGGTATACTTGGGACTGATTTTGACGACTGCTTCCTACATTACTTTGGGTTATGCCAAGTTGGTCCCCACACCTTCCATTTCTGAGAAGACTGCACAAGCAATATACAGAGCTTCTTTCTGTAAAGAACTAGAAAAGAATTCCCATATGGATTTGTTCATCTCTGTCATTTCAGTTTGTTCTGAATGAAATCAGTTGCAGCATTATATTTCACCCACTTTCTGTACCTGAATTTTGTTGTTATCATTTAATATGGGATAGGAGTTAATGTTGGGAAGATCAAGTGGAATAAAGGAAAGAAAGAAGACAGAGACCTCCGCAGATAAGATCAGATTTTAATCATCGCCGAAGAGGGGCACCAAGTAAGAACGAATAGAGTCAGAGATATAAGGGCCACAGAAAGTAGGGGTGCAGGGTTTAAGTACAGTCAAATAAGAAAGTTATGGATTATGAAATAAATCAGGTCATTGTGGAAAAAGGTTCCACCTGGTTCAACACATACTTTCTCGGGATGGGGGAAAGGGAATAGGTTTGTAATTGCTCCATGGAAGCTACTTCCCAGAAAGGGGGAGGAGGGGAAGATCAGTGGGCCAGGGAGGCAAAGTTGAATTATGAGGGCAAGGCAGAGTTCCATCAGTTAGAAACTGAAATGTGAAGAATGTGATATTCTGTGTTTGAAAGTTCATGAAGCCTCATCTCCCCTTTGAAAAACTCTTCTTGCTTTTACTGTCAGTCTCTACATTTGTCATTCTTTTTTTAATATTAAAATTTTGTATTTTATATTATTATCAGTTCAGAAAATATTTTTTTACCACCTCACAAGAGCAAGCATTGTTCTCAGGGATGATGCCATAGTTAAAAAAAAAAAAACCTAGCTTCACATACCCACAAGCATGGCACTGGCTGGTTGGCACTGTAATTCTTAGCTTCCTTTTTGCCCATGACTAATTTGAGCCTCATGCTAGAAGGTGCGATACGGAATCAAACTTTTGAGTGTATAGCTCAGTAAATGGTATACAGTAGATGTCCCTACATATGGGTAATTAGTATTTTCAAAGGTCATTCATATGACTTTGTGGTGAGAAAAGGAAGTGATGATTGAATTCTATATACTTCTGGTTCATGGACCAGATTGGCACCAGTTCACATTCTGTAAATTGCAAAGTCTTTGTGAATCTTAATTAGGATCAGCCAAGAAAATGTGAGAGATTTTACATAACAATCCAGAGGCCTGGTGTTCCTGGGGAAAGCCCACATTCTACTAATGGGCTGGTGCTGTTCCCAGTCTGGCTGTGCTTTGAGATCCATACTGTGCTTTCCCCTCTACCCCCCTTCCACTTTCTGTCTGATTATACGTGAATGTGTATGGGGTTTGTTTGATGGTGGCAAGAAAGAATGAAAATTCTTTAAATTATACTGAAAATTTGTTTTTACAAGTATATAGCAACTTTGCTCCAACATTATAAATAGGAACTCTTTTCTTTAATGACATGAATGCTAACAAACATTTGCCTTCAGCTGAACTAGACTATTGAGTGATTAAGCATCTTTTTTTTTTTTTTTGTCGGCCGTGGGGCTTGAACTCTGGGCCTGGGCGCTGTCCCTCAGCTCTTCAGCTCAAGGCGAGCGCTCTACCACTTGAGCTACAGTGCCACTTCCGGTTTTCTGGTGGTTTATTGGAGATAGGAGTCTCACGGTCTCTCCTGCCTGGGCTGGCTTTGAACCGCGATCCTCAGATCTCAGCCTCCTGAGTAGCTAGGATTATAGGCGTGAGCCACCAGCGCCCGGCTAAGCATCTTTTTTTTTTTTTTTTTAAATTTTGTTTCTTATGGGGCTTGAACACAGGACCTGGGCTCTGTCCCTGAACTTTTTCACCCAAGGCTAGTGTTCTATAACTTTGAGTCACAGAGCCACATAAAGAGTTTTCTGAATAGTTTATTGGAGATGAGAATCTCAATGACTTTACTGCTTGAGCTGGCAGGATCCTCAGATCTCAGCCCCCTGGGGAGCTAGGAATACAGATATTAGCCACTGGAGCCCAGCCAGACACCCTTTTTTAATGAGGTGTTTTTCTGCATTTTCTTGAATTCATGAGATACTTGTCAGATACATACTACTGTGATGCATATTCTACTTTGAAATGAAAATCTGAATCTATGCAGTTTGATTATGATTAGTGTGCTAATTCTTTTTGTTTGTATTGGTTTTCCCATTTGTAATAAGGACACTTGCAACATAAAATTGAATTAAAATGATAGTTTATCAAACTAAACATGTTCATGCTTTGTTTCAGTTATCCTTAAAAAGAAGAGGAAGCAAAGACTTGCCAAAATCTGAGAAAAAGACTCAACAGACTCCCACAGAGGTATGTGGAAATAAAATTTCAGCTAGAACATCAAGCACTTCTGAATATGTAAGAAGCTACATTCATAAATAGATGTAATGACCAAGTAGACTTATGTAAAACAGTGAAATTATGCATAACAATTATGTAGCTGTAGGCTCAGGTAGGATGAAGTATTCAGTATATTTGCTTTTAAAGCCACATTAGCATCCCTGTCATAATGGCTTTCATGCTGTAAGCATACAGCAACATGTCATTAGTACTTTATGTGTTGCCATATTAGAGAACTCTAACCAGGGTACAAATATCTTTCCATAATTAATGGGGGGCCAATGCAATTATTGTTCTTATAATACTGGCAAAGTGAATAAGGAAATGTAGGAAAGGGGCAGAAGGAGAGAGAAGGGAAAAAAAGAAGCAGAAGAAAAAAGTAACAACAGTATTCACCATGAAATTATTAAAATCATTAGAACCATTCTCACGATAAAAAAAGTAGTTCCTCTATATGTTTATATATATAGTCAACTTGTAGGTAAGCATTCACTTGGGAGAGAAAGGACTTTTTCTTTTTTTCTTTTTCTTTTTGTCTGTTGTGGGGCTTGAACTCTGTGCCTGAGCGCTGTCCCTGAGCTCTTCAGCTCAAGGCTAGCACTCTACCACTTGAGCCAAGGCGCTACTTCTGTTTTTCTGGTGGTTTATTGGACCAGGCACTTTCCATTACTTTCTCTTCTTTTTTTTCCTCCCCCCAACAGTTATGCTTCCCTGCTTAGCTTCAAATGTAGCCAGTTTTTCTTTTTAAGATAAAGATGCAAAGCAAGTTGGTATACATAGTTTGTATCTTGAAAAGATGTCATTTCAAATAAGTAAAATAAATTTCTGTGCCATCATCATCTTGCTACATATTCTCCTTTATTACATGCAAACTCTGCCCAAGCCTGAAAATAACCTTCATGTTTTCATGCATCTGATGAGGAGAGCTTATACATACACAAGTCAGGGATTTTCTCTTTTATTTGCTTAATATGCCCAGTGTAATTCTGCTCCACTCCTCAGCTTGTATTTCACCACTACTGTTTTAGTTAGACTCAAACTGTAGTATATTCGATTCAAACTGTAGCAAATGAGAACATTCCAGCTTTTTTTTTTTGGTGGTGGAAACATTACATTTATTACAATAACACTCAATCTACTTATTCTTTCTAACATAAAATCATATTTTATGGTTGGCCATTACTAGTTCACATATTGTTTCTAATTAGTAGCCTTATGTGACCTTACACTCTCCACACAATCTTTACTTCTCTTTAGTCATCTCTGCAACTACTACCATGGCTTTCCCCATCACATAAAAGAATCTCATTCCCATGTACTCTGCATATCTGAGTTTTCTTCATGCCTTAAGATATAATCTTCATTATGTTGACTCCTAGGTTGGACATGCTTCTTACTAGATGCTTCCACTCCATTCCTCCATTTTAAGGGCAACATTTTAAAAACCTAAACCCCGTATCTTTTACCCCAAACCCAATCCTATTTGTTCTCTGTCCCTGCTATTAGCAATACAGCCCAGTGAGACAACTAAATTTAGAGAATCAGGGTTATCTGTGGTCCCTTGGTGGATATAATCTTAACCATTATATTTCCTGGTTCCTGTGTCTTTTGCAGGGCACTTTCCATCTCTGAGAATCTAATAACAAATCTTCCTATGATCTACACCCTTTTCCCTCCTTTGTATGTCTTCCTATGATCTACTCCCTTTTCCCTCCTTTGTATGTACTACTGAAGTGCTTTTTGTTGTCTTTTAAAAAAAAATCTCTGCAGTGTTTCCTTCTTTCCTGTGAGTGCAGTTCTAGGGAGAAAGGATACAGTCTATTAACCCATTGCTCTGGGTTTTTTCCTACTTCAGTTGTAGGGGCAATGTGTGCAGTACACAGAACATGAGCTTTGGAATCAACCTGAATTCAGATTGTGCTCTGTCACTTACTAATTTGCTTTCTGCTGTGTTAAGCAACACCTCCTCTCTGTAAAAGGAAAAATAAATCACTTATTCGAGTAGTTGATAGAAGTATTTCATGAAAGAAGGAATGTAGCTTGTGGGCTCTATCTATCCAGCAACTCTCCATTAATAGATGGAGGGACAGGACATTTGTGCCCTGTTCCTCATTACTTCTGTCTCATAGGTTCTGAATCACACTTGTGGCAGAAACTCATTTTTCTCCTCACTGTCTTCTACTTCATTGTTAGAATGTTTCTCAAACACAAGATAACTCAGAGCTAGATAAGGAAAGGACTTTTGTCCGTTATTTTTGTTTGTTTGTTTCTGTTTTTAAGAGAAAAGCTTCAGTTCATGATAGTTTGTTGAGTATGTACAAGACGCTAGCTTATACCCTGCAAAATAATAAATAAATAAATAAATGCAAAGTAAGTAAAAACAAGGGAGCCAAAGTCCACAGAAGTTACATGCCCCAAAGTACAGACTCAAAACAGAAGTTGAGTAATTGCCCTTGGGAAATGTAGTCTGGGACATAGTTAATGTGCTTCTACAAAAGCTCTCAGAGAGAAATATTTTCATTTTTTTCTTTAGATTCATCATTGTAGTTAATGACTAGGAGTTGCCGACTGTGTTAAACATGAAGGACAGGACTTTCTACCATGTCTACTCCATTATCCTTTCTCCAAGAAGAATTTCACACTGATGGTAGTGCATCCTCTTTTAGAAGTCATGAGTAATGGAAAACGTACCAGTTGCTCCTTGGATGTTTCATTTCCCTATTAATGAACTGTAAAACAATTTTCTCTGACCACAGAGGAAGATTATTCCTTGTATAGCAGAGTGATCAAGAGCCTTAGTTTCCGATGGGATGAATTCAAATTTTATCCTTTTTTCTCTCCCACTTATTAGCTATGTGACTTTTTTTTGCTATGTAACTTTGAACAAGTCACTGAACAGCTTCAAACTGGAGCTGTATAACCTACTTACAAGTTTATTTTGAGTATTAAAGTTGTTCATCGTTGTGAGAACATTAATGTCGAGTAAATGCATTCTAATCATCTTCCTTACAGTACTAGATTTCATGTTTATTACAATTAGGGGAATTTACATCATTTGAAAACAAAACAAAAGCAACACTGTCAAAATGACCACCAAACATTTATACATGATTATAACATAAAATAATCTCTGAATAGTGATTGCTGAAGTGTTTTTTTTTTCCTTTTCATATTCTTTTTCCTTTTGTTTCCGGGATGTAATGTCTTGTTGGCCAAAGAATGTAAGTGATTTGGAGAAAATACACAACATCTACTTCTCCGTGTGCGGTGAAATCTTAAGGACCAGAAAAAGAAATGCCGGTTTTTTTTTTTTTTTTTCTGCAGGTGTCTCTTTTTTCTTAGTGGTGTTCATTTCCATAACAATGACCTCCTACCCTTTATTTCCCCTTTTTGAGGAGGACAATGAAGATCTGAAATGCCAGCTGCAGTTCGTGAAGGAAGAAGCTGCTTTGATGCGAAAGAAAATGGCCAAGATTGATAAAGAAAAGGACAGATTCGAACACGAGCTGCAGAAGTACAGATCTTTTTACGGCGATCTGGACAGCCCTCTGCCCAAAGGGGAGGCCGGGGGACCTCCCAGCACCAGAGAGGCCGAGCTCAAACTACGGCTGAGGTTGGTGGAGGAAGAAGCCAACATCCTGGGCCGGAAAATCGTGGAACTGGAGGTGGAGAACCGAGGGCTGAAGGCCGAGCTGGACGACCTGCGGGGCGATGACTTCAACGGCTCGGCCAACCCTCTGATGAGGGAGCAGAGCGAGTCGCTGTCGGAGCTGCGGCAGCACCTGCAGCTGGTGGAGGACGAGACAGAGCTGCTGCGCCGGAACGTGGCCGACCTGGAGGAGCAGAACAAGCGCATCACGGCCGAGCTGAACAAGTACAAGTACAAGTCCGGCAGCCACGACAGCGCGCGGCACCACGACAACAGCGCCAAGAGCGAGGCGCTGCAGGAGGAGCTGAAGGCGGCGCGCCTGCAGATCAACGAGCTCAGCGGCAAGGTCATGCAGCTGCAGTACGAGAACCGCGTGCTCATGTCCAACATGCAGCGCTACGACCTGGCCTCGCACCTGGGCATCCGCGGCAGCCCCCGCGACAGCGACGCCGAGAGCGACGCGGGCAAGAAGGAGAGCGACGACGACTCCCGCCCGCCGCACCGCAAGCGCGAGGGGCCCATCGGGGGCGAGAGCGACTCGGAGGAGGTGCGCAACATCCGCTGCCTCACCCCTACCCGCTCCTTCTACCCCGCGCCCGGCGCCTGGCCCAAGAGCTTCTCCGATCGGCAGCAGATGAAGGACATCCGCTCCGAGGCCGAACGCCTGGGCAAAACCATCGACCGGCTCATCGCCGACACGAGCACCATCATCACCGAGGCGCGCATCTACGTGGCCAACGGGGACCTGTTCGGACTGATGGAGGAGGAGGACGACGGCAGCCGCATCCGCGAGCACGAGCTGCTCTACCGGATCAACGCGCAGATGAAGGCCTTCCGCAAGGAGCTGCAGACCTTCATCGACCGCCTCGAGGTGCCCAAGTCCGCCGACGAGCGCGGCCCCGAGGAGCCCATATCCGTGAGTCAGGTACAGTTCTGCCTTTTGCGCGCCACGGCGATGGCGAGGCTGGCCCGCGGAGCTGCAGTCCCTCGGGGGGCGTCTCCACGTCTGGAGTTCCCATCCCCGCCCTAGGGAAGGGCCTCCCTCCCCGTCCCCCTCCGGACCCTCAGCCTTGCTGGGGATCCAAGCGCCCCGCTAGGGCTTCTGTGTTCTTTCCACCACAATCCTTCACACCAGAATACTTCACACCTGAGTGTGTGTGTGTCTGTCTGTCTGTCTGTCTGTGTTGGGTTTCCCAACGCCCCTGCAACCACTCATTTCTACCTCTCTCCCCCTTATTTCTTTTAAGGACAAAAAAAAATTGAACCCCTCAACCCTCTGTTTTTCTATGCAAAGATTAAGGGATTTATCTCTTTTTTTCATTGTATGTTATTATCTTAAGAAATCTACTTTTGCAGATTGGCCTGTCCCCCTCTCCGCCCCCCCCCCAAAAAAAAGTCTTTAATAGCAATCTTCAAGTGTGTTCACTTGAGATTTTTGAGCCAAGATCCAAATTGAGCTTCAGCTGTACTAAATAAAGAAACACGACCAACGGATACTTACTGAAAAATGTAGACAATAGTATCAAAGAGACATGATCTGTGCGTAAATCTATATCAAAAACACACAACATGCAAGCTACCTCTCTTCCTTAAGTTAAAGTAACAAGAGAAAAGTCACTGACCGTTCTGTAGTGGAAAATCTCATGACTGGTAAAAGAGTGTCACACCATAACTTTTTAAGAAAACACCAACCCACAGACTTAGTAATAGTGCATTTCAGACCAGGGGAAATCACCATTTTTCCTCCATCCTGACCTGTAGAGGCACACCGGATGAATGGAACTGGGCCACTCACCAGGTATGGTGGCCTCTGAAAGACTGTTTACCAAAATTCATCAACATTTATGAAACAAAAGGCAAGGCTGTCTTTTGTGGCAAGCCTGGTGTCTAACCCAATGGAGAACCCACTGAAGTACAACAGCTTGCATGGCTTTTAAGACACGCAAGACTAATATTTTGGCACTGGGGTTTAACCTCAGGACCTTGCACTCTCGCTTGGCTTTTTGGCTGGCACTGTACCACATGAGCCACGCCTCCACTCCTGGCTTTTTGCTGGCTAACTGGAAATAAGAGTCCCCATGACTTGTCTGCCCCGGGCTGGCTTGAAACAATGATCTTCAGATCTCAGTTTCCTGAGTAGGTGGAATTACAGACGTGAGCCATGGGCGACTGGCAAAACATTTATACTTAAGATTCAGTTTATGCACAGAAGCATGACATTAGACTACCTGTCTTTTAGACTCACAACTAGCAAAACTGCTAGCTCATTGCTTATTTATCTTGCATGTTGCTCTGCTTTGCTATGAAAAGAAAAAGTTTTATGATGGAACATATTGGATTTTGAAATGTTGAAGTTTTTCTATTATAGTAAATGATTGCAGTTTTCTTATTAGTATTCTGAGCATGTGTGTGTGTGTGTTTTAATTATGCCCTCAAGGGGAAAAAATAAAAATCAGAATGGATGAACTGTGTACTAGATTCAGATTTTTGTTAATAAAGGCTTCAGGGAATAATCCTGATTTTAAATTAAATAAATAGATTAGGTGATGTGAATATGTGTCAAAAATTATTATTAATTAACTCTTCTCTTTGTCTTTGCATTTACCTTCCCAGATGTTCCAGCCTATCATTTTGCTTATTCTCATTCTTGTATTATTTTCATCGCTTTCGTACACAACAATATTTAAACTTGTCTTCCTTTTTACGCTGTTTTTTGTACTGTAAATCTTTCATCATTTACCATTCATTGTAGTGTTTTCAGTTTGTTTTATTTTGTTCATCCTTCAAGACCAGAAGTAAAAGAAGTATAATTTCTGTAGTAATCAATGCTTTAAAAACACTGAAGACTGCTTATTTCTGTAAAAAAAAAAAGTCACAACTCATCTTACCACAACCAAATTTAATAAGAAGCCTGAGCATGAAAATATTTCAGGTAGGAAAATGTGACTGTCTTTGTTATGTATTTTAATTTTTGCTTCTTTCTTTAAATCTTCGTTTGCACTTGTATTAATAAATACTTGCAGACTATTAATGAATAGTTTATACCTTTCCTTTATAAATCTAGATATATGTATCTTTGCTATTCATGATATAGATTTATACATTACCAACAAGATAAGTTTAACATCCAATGGTTATCTGTCAAAAATACATGAATAAATGCAATGTGGCCCTCATGGAAGCCAACCAAAATGTTCTCTCTGTTCTCTCTGTAGACGTGTGTTTAGAAGCCTGAGTGTGGATCAGGCTTTAAATCATGCTATTTTAGTTAACCAGCTTCTCATCAAGCCAGCTCTTTCTGCATTTACTTACTATGTGATGCAGTTTATTATATGGCGTTCTATCCTCCTTAATAGTCTGCCCCTCAGAACTGCCTTCAGAGCAAGAAAAATGCTAGAAATGTGGTTCTTAAAACATCTCAAGCAGAGAAAACAGTAGTCTCTAGAATTTCTTGAAATCATAGGCCAAACCAGAAGCCTAGTTTTAGAGGGAGTTACTTCTCTGTCATCTCACAACTGAAGCAGCCTGAGCAGATACTATATATATCTAAAGCTCTTCTGTCTGTCTTGTTGGTATTTTACCCAGCAGAAACATGGAATCACCTGTGCCACTCAAGATTGAGAAATCACAGCACTGTAGTCATATGCTTGTGATTCTCAGATGTTTTGGTTAGCACATATCAAAAAATCGGTAATAAAGAAGTATCTTGGGCTCAGCAAAAACCATAGTACATAGAAGACATTTGCTTTTTCACTAAAGTTGGTATTGGAGCCAAGTACTGGTGCTTTACACCTCTAATCCTTGTTACTTGAGAGTCTGAGAGTGTTAGGATCAAATTTCAAGGACATCTCAGGAAGAAAAAAGTTCAGAAGATTCCTTCTTAATGAAGAACTTGATGCTGTGGCTTTAATATAGGTGGAGTTTAATATAGGTGAATTGCATGTACCAAGGCAGGAGGGAGGAAAGACCTCATCTCAAAATAGGAACAAAAGCCAACTGCTTGTGGCTCATGTATGTAATCCAAATTAATCAGGAGGCTGAGTTCTGAGGATCAGACTCAGAGCCAGGTTCAGCAGTGAAGTCTATGGGACTCTTATCTCCAGTTAACCACCAAAAGCTGGAAGTGGGGCTGTGGCTCAAGTGGTAGAGCATGAGCCTTGAGCAAAAACTCAGGGACAGCACCCAGTTCCTGAGTTCAAGACCCAGGACTGGCACACACACACACACACACACACACACACACACACACACACACACACACACACACTTGCTCACACGCACATGCACACACACACACCAAAAACCTAAAGCAAGACCGGAGGCTCAGCTGTAAGCATACCTGCTCAATAAGCATGAGAACCTGAGTTCTAAGTTCAAACCCCAGTACCAGCAAAATATAAAGACAACCACCACAACAAAGCAATGGAGCAAATAATGATCTTTTTGTTTGTTTGTTAGTTTTGTGTTTTGGCCTTGGGGCTTGAACTCTGGGCCTGGGCACTGTCACTGAGCTCTTCAGCTCAAGGCAAGTGTTCTGCCACTTGAACCACAGCACCACTTTAGTTTTTCTAGCGGTTCATTGGAGATAAGAGTCTCACAGACTTTTCTGCCTGGGCTGGCTTTGAACCACAATCCTTAGATCTCAGCCTCCTGAGTAGCTAGGATTATAGGTGTGAGCCACCGGTCCCCTGTTGTAATGGTCTTTTGAATTCCAGAAATGTAATATGCAGAACACTGATACATATATAGCCTTATCTTTCTTACAAATCCATTTCTCTTTGAGAATTAGTTTTAAAAAATTCATAGCAGTTGAAAAATGAGAGTGTTAGTATCAAACATAGTGTTTGTTTATCTTGGTTTGGAGTATGCCCCAAGCCTTTAGCTTGGGATGTGTTTGCTTTTTCTTTTCTTTTTTTCCTTGTTGGTAGTTATGGGGTTTGAACTCAGGGTTTTTATAATAGATGGCAATCTACTATTTGAGCCATGCCTCCTTATTCTTGTTACTTTTAAGATAGAGTCTTGCTTTTGTACACAAGCTGACCTGAACTGCAAGTCTCTTATTTGTGTTTTCTGTTGTAACTGAAAAGACATGTGTTCACCACCATACTCAGCATTTTAGGTTAGGATGGAGTCTTGCAAACTATTTTGCTAGGGCTGATCTGAAAGCAGTCTTCCTAATCTTAACTTCTTCTGTAGTGAGTATGCCAGGTGTACATGGCAGAAGCTAGTTACTAGCTGAGATAGATAGCAGTCTTAAGTTTTCTGCTAAGGCTGGTCTTGAAACATGGTCCTTCAAATTTCCATCTCCTAAGTAGGTAGGATTACAGCAGAGCCACTATTTGATCATCACTTGTCTAGGTTTGAGTAGATCAGAATAATAAGAGAAAGGAAAGACAAGATGGAGAGTTGTGAATACAGGGTCAGGCACACTCAGAGGTACAGGTGTCGGGGCATAATGAATTAAAGCCTGATGAGGATCCAATATTCTATTACAATAACTTGCATAGGCATTCTTCACAGAGACCCAAATATGTACCAGAGTGATACACTTTAGCATGACCTATGGCCTAGTAAGGAAGAAGCAGTGTGTAGACTAATCAAACACCAGCCTCATCGTCAGATCTTCTTGAAAGTCAGCTCTTGTCATCCTGACAACAGATGTGCTAACCTTACTTGTGAGTTCTAAGGCATTGATGTTATAGAATTTAAGGAGAATTTTAAAACCTCATCCAGACCTACAAATGGAGAACCGTATACAATACTTGGGAGGAGAATGTAGGCTGCGCGCATCTGACCTGACGGCTGCTCGCAGACTTAGGAGGCCTCTGACAGCTCCAAATTTCGTGAGGCAACATGTGTTCCATTCAATTGTAAGGAAGGGTTTGTTCCTACAACTTGGTCCTGTCCATTTATCCATTGAGTAGCCAATTTCCTACATGTACAGACTCTGTCTGTCTGTCTGTCTCTGTCTCTGTCTCTCTCTGTCTCTGTCTCTGTCTCTGTTTCTGTCTCTGTCTCTCTCTGTCTCTCTGTCTCTGACTGTCTCTGTCTCTGTGGCCCCCCCCCCCCCCGTCTCTGTCTCTCTCTCTCTCTCCTACTGTGGTCTATAAAAATACATGCTTGCAGGTCAGGGTGCTCAGACCTGCCTGTACCTCTGGAACGTGCTGGAGCCCAGTGGGTAAAAGGTCATTTCAGCAAACTGTCAATAGGCATGAAATAACCTTTTCCCTGACTAATTGCCCTCTGTTCCTTGAGTCTGTCCTGTGGGCCCTCAGCAGCTACGATACAACTCTCATACCACAAAACCTCGAACTGAGAATGTAACAGGCTGTGTCCAAGACATCCAAAGAGAAATCTAGCCTTTCTTTCCCCTCTCTCCCCATTGACTCTGTTGTTTGTATTGCTTTTGTTTTATTTAGCTAGTTTTAAAAGAACACTCGGGTAGCTTTAATTCATCAAGAAAGCAAAAAAAAAAATCAAAAACAAAACAAACCAAAAACCCTTTGAAGCTATGGTGATTTAAACACCACGCTGGAAATAAACTCACAAAAAAGCAAATCTTATTATAGAAAACTCTCTTGCATTGCACATTATTGGGCATAGGAAACATGTCTTTGTTAAATTAGCCTGGATTTAAGAAAAAAGGGAGGGATTCTGTTGGTTATTTTTAAGTGTAAAATACTGAAACTTTTAACAAAAAGGAAAATTCAAAGCTGAGCCTGGAATGTGTATTGGCTTAAATTCCCCAGTCTTCAATTTTATGGCAAAGTGGGGTGTGATTATTTAAGCAGCTGCCAGCAAAGTTTGGAATGTCAGCTTGGTAGCTTAGTCTTCACTCCAAATATCCACAGAAACCGGTAGAGGATAGTGTTACAATGTAAGAAAAGTTTACGTAAGTAAGTAAGTAAAGTAAGAAAAGTTTACTAAAGTAACAGGATTTGGTATAATTTTTTTAAGTATACATGGAAACTTAGCTGTTTTACCTTCAGTTATAGCACAGTTTGAATCTGCTTGGAATTTTGATCTGGTTTATCATAGATGGGGTAATTGCATATACATTTTGATAACAACTTAATATTTTATGACTATATCTTCATATTCTCATTAGCCTACTTGTAGCGTTTCAGAGAGTAACTTTTTTTTCTTTTTTTTTTTTAAATTTTATTTTATTTTTTTTGTGAATATACTGTACAGAGGGGTTACAATTACATGGGCAGGATAATGCATACATTTCTTATCAAGCATTGCAGCCTCCTCCTTTGTTTACCCTTCACATCCCTTCCCAGCCTCCTTCCCCCCCCCCTCAATCCTCCCCCCCCCACCAACGTTGTAAAGCTCGTTTTCGACATGACAACTTGTACTTCTCAGAGAGTAACTCTTGCAAAGTAAGAATGCTTGGTGGCCTAAGCATGAGAGGGAACACTTAGCAGTTCCTTAAGGAACACTACAGTAGCATCCCAGATGCTGCTGCATCTCAGATACTTCCGAGCTGTGCTTTTGGGTTACTCAGTGAGGGGAAGGGGAAGTAGAGGTGGCTTTTATTTTTATTCCATGGTGAATGCTCTGAAAGTATGCAGAATCATAGACTCTCTAAAGGTTCTTTGCCTGTTACTGAACAAATATCTATGAGTCCATGTTCTACCTATTCAAAGCAGTGTTTATTTATTAGCAGTTCTAATCTGTAGCTGAGATGTGGATAATTTTTTAGACACTTCAAGGTTACCTTTTCAGAGAAGTCCTGTTAAAATCCGCTGGAACAAAAGAATACAAGTAGCAAATTTTGAAATAAAAAAATACCTAGCAATCAGCACCAGGCTGTGTTGTCCTGAA